GGTGATCCTAGACTCAGGAGGCTGAGGCAGGGGGTTCTCCAGTTTGAAGCTAGCCACTGCTTCCATAGAGCCTGTCTTGGATCCCGAACAAAACAAGTACCCCATACTTGGGAAGCACTCAGCTGTTGCTGTTGTTGCTCTAGAAGTGAAGTGTGTGTGTAAACCAGGAGCTGTGGTAAAAGAATTTGTGTATATTTGTAGGAAAGGAGAAGGAGGTTTCTATTTTTAGCTGGTCCTATTAGCAAATACGAGTCTTTTCATTCCCTCTTTCTCTGGGCCCTTGGCAGACATGAAGCCTTGCTCTACCAGCTGAGTTGGTTGCTGTGTCTGTCTCACACCAACCCTGCGACTTTCTTGGATTTTATCAGTTCTATTTTCAGAAAGGAGTACACAGGAGTGAAAACTCTCAAAGGGCAAAGTTCTTATTGACATACAAATGCTTTCAGTGATGAGTAATGGAGTTAAAAAAAAAAAAAAAAAGACCATAGAGCTATGTTTAGCTCTAATTGCTTGGCATAGAATGTTTCTCTTTTTGTTTGTTGGTTTGTTTTTTGTTTTGTTTTGTTTTGTTTTTTGAGACAGGATTTCCCTATGTAGCCCTGGCTGTCCTGGACTTTGTGGACCAGGCTGGCCTTGAACTTATTGAGATCCTCCTGCCTCTGCCTCTGCCTCCCCAAGTGCTAGGATTAAAGGTGTGTGCTTTGGCACAGAGCGTTTCCTAAGCACTTGTGTTGATAGGCTTGGACATCTTGAAGCACAGGTAGGATTATGGTAATCGAATGAGATACAGTGTGACTAGAAACAGTTTTGAATATCTAACCTTCTTGGAGGGGGACCACTTTGAGAGGGTCTCTAGTCTCTTCATTAAATTAAGCACTCTAGCATCAGAAACTGAAACCAGGACCCCAAACATGTTGGGGTCATTCAACCACTGAGCTAGACTCCCAAGCTGAAAACAGCCATGCGAAAGCCAGATGTTTAAAGGGAGTTTTGGCTTGGCTTGGTGTCACATGGCTTTAATTCCAACCTTCAGGAGGCAGAGGCAGGCAGATCTCTGTGAGTCTGAGGCCAGCCTGATCTACCCAGCAAGTTCTAGGACAGCCAGAGCTACATAGAGCAGGGTCTTATTTAAAAAACAAAACAAAACAAAACAAAACAAAAAATGGGATTCCAAGAAGATCACATTAATAGAGAGTGAAGGTGATAGAATAAATTCAGTGCTCCTAAGCATGTCACTTTGAGAAACCGTCTTTTGTATTTGGGGGAAACCACTAATGATGGAAAGCTTGAATTGCTGCTCCAAGTGCCTTGATTCTCTCCATGGCTTCTCACAGTTTACCTTCCTTCCACTGATGACAGATTAGGCTTTAGCATGGGGAGCTGTGGGGGACTGGACCTTTTAACTTCTTTGGTAGAATACTCAGAATAAAAGACGTTAGTATTGGGAATGAAGTTAATGACAGAACTGCCCCTATGTTATCCCCGGGTTAAGCTGAGTCTCTTCAACTTACCTGCTGTGATGATGTAGCTTGGAGCCAGTGTGCTGTGGTCTAAAGCTTCGTACTGTGGCATGGAGTTTGACAGAAATCTATTTCTTTATAGTTATTATTAATATTATTTTTTTTAGTAGAGTTAGTTCAGTTCACTGAATATCCAAAGGACTTCTGCTCTTTTGCCCTAAATATTTTATTCTTGTCCTGTTTGTGAAAATTTCATTCTCCTAGACTCCCTTTTATCCCAGCAGTTCCTAAAAGAAGATGAGATGAAAAGAAATGCTGATCCAACCTTCTGCGACTATGAAAGGAGCCTTTACTGTGAGGTGCAGTGCTCCAGTGGGGAGTGAGGTTGGCTTCCCAGGATTCCTGGCACTCTGTCCAGTAATGAGCAGTTTGTCTCTCAGCCTTTGAACCATTGTTCAGATTAAAAGTTCTACCCAGTAGAAAGCCTTGGGAGAAAGAGGAGCAGAAGCTGAGTCGATGTGAGGAATCACTTCGCTCTTAACTCATGCCATTGGACTTTTTCAGCAGTATTTATTAAGGGTACAACAGAAAAAGCACATGAAAGCAGAGGCAAAATATACATATCTCATTGAATGCCTCCTTCCTGATCCAGTTTTTTGCCCATGTGTGCTACCCCCCTCTCCCAGTGGGAATGAAGATTTTAAATATAAAAAACCTCTTTAGCAATTTCTCTGTGCTCCCCCTCCCCCCCTTTCCCATGGATAGAGCCCAAATCATCTTTGCTGGACTGCATCCTGGGGTTTGCCTCAGGCCTTTGGAATCCTACAGGCAGAGAAGGGGAAGCCTCTGGGGACTGCATTCCTGAAAGGGCGAGTCTCCCTTCTCTAGATCCACAGCCATCTCCACCACTGGATGCTGCCCACTTAGGGACAGAGGTGACCAGTACTGGCTGTCAGTTCACGGAACCTGTAGAAAGAACAACTGGCCTTAATAGCATCACCACTGAGCATCTCTAGCAGGTGACTCAGGTGCAGGCTGTGATGCTTGTTGGTAAGTCTAGACACTAAGCATTTTCTATGTGTTTTGAGACCTAGTCACCAGGCCTGTGTCAGAAGCCACATTCCTAACTTACAGGAGGAAGGTGAGAATCAGCTTTCCCTTTCTGACTCCTCTAACCAAGTTTAAACCTGGCTCCAGCTCTCTGCTTTCTTCCTTCTAACTGGACCTCTGCCAGCCCCTAAGGCAAGGGTCCCTTCAGTTTTTTGAGTAGTCAGGAATACACTGAAAGTCCTGTTCCCACCTTCTTATTCTGCCATCCACCCCCTACCTTGCTTTTAGCAGGGCAGCCGCTGGGAGATTGCTTGCTCTGAGGTAACAAAGAGAAAACAAAAGCAAAACCAAACCATTCTCTTGTACTCTGCAGACCTGTGTTCCATGGGTTCCACACTAAGGTAACAGATGCTTCAGGCCGTTCTTCATTTTAAAGCCTTTCCTGCACTCTGAAGAGCCGTCCATCAGGGCTTCTCCAAGTTACTACTAGCTGTCAGTATCATCCTGAATGTCACAGCCATGCCACAGGTGGCTCTGCTCCTGTTTGTCTATCTGGTCCTTCTAAGTCACCTCACTCTCCCGTGAGGGTGCTCACTCTCTGTTTGAGGAAGAGTCTGAAGGCTCAGGGAAGAAGAGCCATGATTAGGAATGTGACCGCCCGCTAAAAAGAGGAAAGATCGATATTTCCTGACCATGAAACATGCAGAGCGTCTCCCCAAACTCTGGACGCTGGGGATCAAGCCACAGCTGTGTTGGCTAGAAGTTGTCATCCTCTCTCTGTGCCTCACCAGATCCCCAATCCCTGCACAATAGCAGGGGTGGGTAGGGGAGTCTACTTGCTGGAAACAGGAGCAGCAGCTGAAAGCCAGCTTGGCAGGTGGCCAAACGCAGAAAAGGAGAAGCAAAGCCAGGGGAGCCCACACGTGGGTCCCCGGCTTCTCCCCCAGCCTTTGCTGGAACTGCAAGTGCTGCTCTATGGAACAGATAATGAATCTCAGAGCCACTTGGCTGGAGAAACCCAAAAGGCCTCTCTGCCTTGTCTCCCCCTCTGCTCTCCAGTTGATCAATAGAGGCTTTTTACAGGGAGAGTGGCTAGAAGCGGGAGAGGGGAGCAGTTATTTGCCTCCTGCCCGGGAGTCCTATCAACAGGAAGTGAGCTGGGGGCTTGTGAATCCAGGGTTGTGCGGAGTGGGCAGTTAGGGTGAGGAGTGGCCACCGAGTCAAGTTCCCTGCCCGAGGTCTGCCGTGGGCCAAGTGAATTTAGGACAAGCACACCCCGCCCACCTTTTTCTCCCTGGCTTTTCTTAAGCTGTACCTCTCATTTTTCTTCAGACAGTTTCCAAGTTTTATTTTTGGTTTGGAAAAGGGTGAAAATTCCTTGACATCTGCATTCAGCAGCTCCCTTCCCCCACAGTGTGACCTACTTTAGAGACTAGAGTGACTTTTATTTTTTATAGCCATGAGAAATCACTGAAAGCAAAGAAGCTGAAGTTGAGGGACTTGGGACATTGTCTTGGGGGAGGTTGTCCAACCATTTCTGTGGGTGTCCCCCTAGCTCTATCTCTAGACTCTTTTAAGGGGTGCTCTCTTAGTGGCGCTGGGAGAACAGCTGTACAGATGTGGCATGTGGGCGATTCTGGTGTGGGCTGGCCCAGCTGCCTGCTTCGCAACCTTCCAGTCACCACAGCATAAGGCACATCTGGCTTCACAGTGTAGAGCTTGCTGCTCTTGGGATTCCCGAATGCCTGCATGAGAAGAGAGGAGAGAGGACAGAATAAATGAGGTCACGAGAAAGCAGTACATCTTGAGTAGGCTAGTAAGGACTCAAATAAAAGAAATATTCAAACTCACCCCCACCTGGTAACATGAGGCCCTTCTGAGAAAGGGACTAGGAACCCGAAACTGAAAAATGTGACTCAAATCAGGAAGTCACTCATTTCTCTTGGTTTCTATTTATAGTGTGTGTGTGTGTTTGCTTTATAATTGCAATTAAAGGATAAACTGTGTGGAAAAGTTAAAAATACACTTATGAAGGCACATGCCTTCAATCCCAGCACTTGGAAGCAGAGGCAGGCAGATCTCTGAGAGTTCAAGGACAGCTTGGTCTATAGAGAGAGTTCCAGGGCAGCCAGGGCTACACAAAGAAACCCTATCTTAAAAAAAAAAAAAATCAAAAACCAACCAACCAAACAAAACAAAATAAAACAAATTGAAGTAGATATTAGGCAAAACACAGAAAATTAAAAAAAATAAATAAAACAAAAAGAAGCAGATCATGTCTACTGATCTCACAATCAAATGTGAGTCCTTCTGCTTTAGGTTACTGGAGGCCTAGCTCCATTCCTTCTTTCACATGCTGCCTCTGACCATATGGAATGGTTTACAGTTTGAGAAACATTCCTGCAGGCTTCTGGACCTTTCTATATATCTTTCCCAGGAGGATGTGGTCAAGTTTAGAGCTAGTCCTCAGAACTCTGACAGTAAAGAATATTGCTTACTTTGGCAACACAGAGATGAAAATTGATATAATAAAGAGAAGATTAGCATGGTCCCGGCACAAGGGTGACACATAAAACTGTGAAGTGCCACATATTTCAAAAGAAAAACTCCAGGGAGAAGGAAGAGCCGAAAGCAAAGAGGCTGCTGCAGGAAGAGGCCACCGTCAAGGGGAGCAGGTGAGGAGAGGCCAGGCTACTGCCAAGGGAGGGAAGCAATAGAAAGGTTGTGGAAAACAGGGACAAATAAAATTTTACTGAGCCAAAAGCTGTTGTGGGTGAAATTTAGCAGGCTCTGTAGAAGATGAGAGAGAAAAGAGAGAGTGTATGGAGGGATAGCTGAGGAGGCTCTGGCTATAACCTCCTTCTTCCCCTGAATTGGCATAAAAGCAAACAAGAACCAAGATGGCAGAAAGGAGTTGAAGTCAACAGAAAAAGCCTGCATATGCTGGGTGGTTGTGGTGCATGCCTTTAATCTCAGCAGTTGGGAGACAGAGGCAGGTGGATCTCTGTGAGTTAGAGGCCAGTCTGGTCTACAGAGCAAGTTCTAGGACAGCCAGGGCTACACAGACCTTGTTTCAAAAACAAAAACAAAAACAAAAAACAACAACAACAAAAAAAAAAAAAAAAAAAAAAAGAAAGAAAAGGAAAAAAGGCCTGCATATGCCTTAAGCAGAACCAATGGAGGCAGCACCAGCTATGCTGAGGGTGAATGGGTTTTGAATATATCTCCCTCTATATGTATCTTTTAGCGTGAAGAATGCACAGCACCGATTCTTTCTTCTGTAAAATACCAGCGACACTAATAAATTACTCCAGGGACCTTGTTAGTTTCAGTCTACACTTTCTTCTTCACTCCCAATCGACAAAGACCCTTGCAGCTTACATTCCAGCACATCAGCTGGCAAGGTAACAAACTGCCAGAGGCCTCTAGATAACAAAAGGTTGGCTTCCCGGAGTCACAGTGCCACCAGGTTCCATGCCCAAAGATAGAGACTTCTCATGTGTCATCCCCTGTTTATGTCAGATATTTAAGACCTTGGGACGGAAGCACGTTCCACGACGAAGGCAGGGTTTGGTTTTCTAACCTTTAGTTGTTCTCATCTGGAAATCCAGTTATGAATGACATTTTCTCTCTTCCCTCCCCACCAAGTCTGACCTCATCTGCCTTTTTCTCAGTGTGACGGAGGGTTAGTTGGAGGCTGAAAACAGGTTGAGACATGTCTAACAAAGAGGCTCAGGATTCTGAGAGGAAAGGAAAGCGAGCCAGGCAGTTTTAGGTCGGTTAAGGCAACTGGAAGGAGAGGAAAAGAGGAGTGGGAGAGAGTCGGGTGGACGGATGGGGAAGGCAAGAGAGACAGATGTCTGTGATGGTTTCAAGAGAAACAGAAGACTAAAATAGGCTCAGAGTCAGAAAACAGGGAGAATGTGAGAAGTGCGAAAAGGTAGCAGACTGAACTGCGGAGAGTGTGAGAGAGAAGCCCCGCTGAGACGGAGTAATAGCAAAGTCCTCCAGAGCACAGGGCAAAAATGTAAATGAAGAAAAAGGTTCCCATGGTAGTGGGGGTCATTTCCTGCTAAAATTATGACAGTGACTTACAAACCAGCATCATTACTCGACTTCTGCCCCTGAGTTTTAAATAGCTTTGGTGAGGTAGGTCCTAACTCACTGGCCTGTATATGCTTAGGCCACCCAGAGCTCGAAATTCCTCCAGTCTGTTTGCTTTCTGTTGTAATTAGCTGAGGCTATTTCTGAAAACAAACAGATCATCTCTCCTCCCAGATTCTGCTGTCTGCATCCAGGGCCTTCTCCTGGATCTTGTCTGGTTCTCTCACTCACATCCCTTCGAAGTACCAGGATTACAAAGTTCTCCCCTCCCCTCCCATCCTGGTGGGGAACACACATGAGCGCTTGTTAAACTTACAGCGTTGCGTCTATGCTGTAGCTCATTCCCATGCCCGCTTTCCAGTTTCTGCTGTCACCACCCGACTTTAAACACTCAAGTCAGTCTGTTTTCCCTTCTGCCTAAACACTGTGCTCCCCAAACTCTAACTGATAACTAAAAGGTTACTCATCTTACAATATAATTTGGTGACGATATCAATCTCTGACATCCCATATCCTCCATGAGCCCTTCTGCCTCTTGGTCAACCTTTTTATTCAGCCATGACTTATTGCCTAGTCTACGCAGGAACTGGGTACAAAGATGATAAAGAACTTGATGACTAGACAGAAGAAGGATGATAACATTGATCATTACAGTTCAGGTTGAATACTATAATGGTAGGGTAAAAGGTCTGAGCTCACTTCCAGGTTTGAAAATTCACCAAAACCCATCGCTCTTTGGGCTTGCCCTACACTCAGGGGTTGCAATCCCACCAATCCACACCCTGGAAAACTCTTCCCCCAAGAAACCCTATAAGCCTGTCTCCTGCTCAGTTCCCTGCTGCTTCTCTTCAGAGCAGGGACAGCTGCCCTCTTGTATCTTTCCCAATAAATCTCTTGTGTGAGGCCTATTGTGTGGTGAGACTTTGTGGTTTTCCCTGCCTCCTGACTGCCAGGATTCCCCCCCCCCCCCCCCCCCCCCTCCCAGAGCTGTACACTTACATTGTGTAACACTTAATAACGATACAGAAATATTGATGAGGGATGCCTAACCTAGAGAGGGGACGTTATTTTTATACTGACCTTCAGATGGAATCAGCTATGTTGAGAATATACGGAAAATTATTTCAGACTGGGAGGAGCTGCATATACAAAGGTCCTGAGGCCAGGAGAGTGTTAGTTAGCTGTGTACCTAAAATGCTTCATTCTGATCAGCGTCTGAATGAGGAGCTGGGCATAGACTCACAGGTTCAGAACGATCAGATTACAAAAGGCTGGGTGCACCAGATGAGGAGTATGATTTCATCCTAAAAGACAGCAGAATGCTTGCCCAAACACAGAAGTGGCCCTGGGTACCCCCCAAGAAGCCTTTTGAGAAAGAGTGGAACCCAGCTGGATACAAGTCTGGGTCTAACACTATCTGAAATGAAGTCTGAACAGGGATGAAAAGGAAAGTTTATGGCAGAAAGGGGCAGCTAGAGAGATGGGCAGTAATCCAGATGGGAAGCTGGATGTGGTGGTTTGTAATTCTAGCACAGGAGGCAGAGGCAGGAGGATCAGGACTTTGGCACCAGCCTGGGCTAGTGTGACCACTTTATTTATTTAAAAAAATTTGTTACATTTTGTGTGTGGATGTGGGTATGCTGCAGCATGGATGGGAAGGTCCAAGGAAGTCCATTCTTTCCTTCCACCATGTGGGTTTGAGGGAACAAATGCAGATGCTCAGGCTTGGAGCCATTCTGAGATTTTTTTTTTTTTTTTAAGAGGAAAAAGACCAGGTGAGAAATTACTGGAACCAAAACCAGCAGTGGAATCTACTGTATGTCGCCTTGTATTGTTGCTCATGGACATTTTTCAATGTCCGGAAATGTCTTACCTCTCCTTTGAAAACACCACTAAATTATCAAGTCTTTGAAGGTAGTAATGGCAGGAACTCAGCCTTATCTATGTGAAGGCCTTTCTGTGACAAGATCTGCACTGATGTCAGCAGCAGCAGCGGAAGTGAACTAACTGGGGACGAGCTTACTAGCAGTAGGCAGGAGGCTGCTGGCAGCTAAAAGGGAGGAATGTGGGGGTTCTTTCACTTCGACCCCACACTTCCTGCAGACCAGCTGGGTTCCCACTTCAGGTTCTGAGAAGCTGGTTCTGAGTCACCCCCTTCTTTCTTAGCTCCTATCTGGCAAAGAGATCCAAAGGACACTGGGTTTGAGAAGAGGGAGCCTTCCAGCACGCTGTATTCTTTCTCCTTACAACAAAGAGCAGTAGGGACGGTGGCTAAGCCAAGAATTCAGTCTTGATAACGGTCTCCTCTTACTCCTGGGACCCTACTTGTGCTAGGGGTGGAATTCACTTGAAAGGCAGACAGACAGAGGCTGGTGGAATTAGCCCCAAGAAGCTGGGAAGGAGGAGGGCTTGAGGAAGGCGCTGTCCTCTCCTGCAGGGAGTAGAATGGAATTAGTTAAGCTGCTTCTCTGGTTGCTGCTTCAGGCTCTCTCCAGTAATTGCTTGTTTACTCACTTTCCGGATCTCAGAGGCTGTTGGACTCCTGCTGCTCTGGGAGCAGTGGGCTTACCTGACCCCCTCCTCTTTCCACCTTTCCCTCTGAAAAGAACCCGCTGGGAAGGAACAAAGACCAGAGTTCAAGTCCTAATGAGGTCTCCAGTGAGGTGGAGGTGGTGGTGCTCATTCAGTGCCAGTCAGGGAGAAGCTCAAATCCCCGAGCCAGACCTTAAATTGGCTGTTGGCCGGGTGCTCAGAATGAGTCCCCTGGGGAGGTGGGCAGGCCTGGGGAACTCAGTTTCTGGGAGAGGGGCTCTAAAGTACAAACACCCCTGCTGGGCCCATTTCTCTCATAACGTATAGCCCCTCCCCTAGAGAGGGTATTTGAGCCTTTCGATGTGATAAATCCTTGAAAACCAGAGTGGATTAAAGATGTGATAAACGCATGTATGCAAATTGCACCCACAAAGAAAACCAAAGATAGTCGAATCTTCCTGCCCAACTATAACTGTAAGAGCTTGTACTGTTGCTCACGAAAACGGACAGGTGTTTGTTCCTTCATTAATGAAGGTCATTATCTGCATTCCTATTGTGAAGGATGATCACATTCTCAGTCCAGAAAGTCTGGGCCTCTGGAGACCAGGGGTTCTGTAAAAACACTGACCAACGGGTAGGACCTTGCTAGCCAAAGGTGTGCAATTTTTACCTTTTAATTTAGGTACATTTCATTTACTTATAAGTGGTTAGGGCTGTAATAAACGTATCCTTATGAGACTCCGAGGTCTAACAAACAAAGGCAATTTACTATAGAAGTGTAAATGTGAACCTAATTGAAGAGTTTCCTATTGTTTCCTTAGGGACACAAGCTCCTTTAGGACTCTGCCTAGCTCTCTACGTTTGATTCTCCCCGTTGCCCAGAGCCCAGAGGAGGCCACCAGCGTGTCTGGCAGGGAAATGAAGAGCCTATCTCCAATGGCATCTGGGCTTCTCCCCCCTG